CCATGTCCTACCCTTCTTCACGTAAAGCTCAGGACCGTCCACGTGCACGTGCTCTCACACCGTCCCTGCGGGCAAGGTCTCGTGGGTTCGCTTCCCCCGCCCGCCAGTGTCCATGACTGTGTGTGTTTATAACGCGTTTCTTGAAGGTCAGGGGGGGACACTGGGCCGGGGATCAGAGAGTTCATCTCTTTGGCCGCCCTGAAACTCAGAGTGGAATCTAGGGGCGCGGAGTCCAGCGCAGAGCTGGACAGAGGCCGGCAGACCCGAGGCGGGTGGGACCGCACCAGGCAAAGCCTGCCCCACCGAGGGGCACTCGATTTCATTTAAAAAAACACTCTGCTGCCCCAAGAAATGCAGCTAGAAGCTGGCTCTGTCCTCGTGCTGCCCGCCTATGATCCTTACTGGTGCCCGCTCCAGCTGGAAACCCACGACTCGCGTTTGGTCGTCGGAGGCGCGTGTCCCCGAGGGGGGTGGCCGCGGTTACCTGCACTCTGGCCTCGGTGAGGTTCACCCGGCGGGCCAGGTCCTCGCGCACGAAGGCGTCGGGGTAGTGGGTCCGCTCGAACACGCGCTCCAGCGCCTGCAGCTGGCCGCTGTTGAAGGTCGTCCGGTTCCGCCGCTGCTTCCTCTTCTTCTTCTCCTCCGAGCTCAGCTGGTCATCTGGAAGAGAAGACGCGGCCGATCAGGCGCCAGCGTTGCTGGGTGCCGACAGCCAGCTCTCGCCTCCTGTGCTCCCATCCGGATCGAGCCACCGGAGCCAGACACCGCTTGCTACCTGCGGGCGTGGCTCGGGCGCTCGCAAGTCCCCAGGCCGAGGACCCCGGCAGCTCCCATGCCTGGCTGTGGCTTCGAAATCTGGGACCAGACCTGAGCTGTCGGAGGGACATGTCTCGCGTGCTGTTTGCAGCCTGCTTTGTCAAGGACGCTAGAACACTGCTTCCCCAGAGACGGGGAAGAAGAGGAGCAGATCGCTTTGGACCTTATTTGTCCTTGACAATATTATGTTCATTCACGTAGTTTCGTAATCCCAGGAGAACGAGCATCCCCTGGTTCCTAAACACAAATGCAGCAGCACAGAGGGAAAACCCGTTCAGGCGGATGATTTCATCGTGCGTTCCCCTGGCAACAGCCAGCAATTCCCGCCTGCACCTGCCCACGGCCCATGCTGTCACTGAGGCAGGCTTCGGGGCCTCAGCCTAGACCGGGGTGAGTGCTGCAGCCCCGTCGCCCTCAGCCGGTGGTGGCCCGGGCCTCTCCCTGTCACACTGTGAGACCTCAAGAGCAGGGAACAGAACGGAAGGATCTCTGAAACAATTTCACCCCAAAATTGAGTCCCCGGGCGCTAAGATGTTGGGGACCTCTGGAGATGCCATGTCTTCACCTGTCAGGTTCCCTCCGTGGCTTTCTCTGAGCCCCCCAGAAGCACCTCGGCCAGCTGGTCCCCCAGCCCGCCCATGGCAGTCAGACAGAGGTGCAGTCCTGACCGGCACCCCGACTCGCCCGGGCGGGCATGACGGACACGCGAAGCTGAGTGGGAGAGGATTCGAAGGGCAGCTTAAATCCAGGGGCCCCCGACTCGCCCGGGCGGGCATGACGGACGCGCGAAGCTGAGCGGGATACCAGCGGGGCTGACACCGCCACCGAGCCACCACCCTGAGGCCAAAGCCACTGCAGAGCCTGTGCAGGACGCAGAGATGGACACGCCGAGCAGCTGAGGCCCGAGTCACGTGCCCGGCCTCACGAACCGGGCTCCCACTTCCAGTAGCACCCCCCAGAGAGACGCGGCCCGAAGGAAGACATGAGGGAGGATGGAGAGAAGGGAGAGCTTGGCCGCTCCCTCCACGTTCGAGAGAAAGTCGCCGTCGGCCACTTCCCTGGCATGTGAGGTCTGCTCGCCTCTGCGCCAACACACCCAAGGAAACCGCTCGCGTGAGTCACAGCGTCCTAAGGACAGTGACGCTTGCTACTATTCTTACGACAAATCGAAGGTCTGCCCAAGATTTGGGAGAGGATTCGAAGGGCAGCTTAAATCCAGGGGCGCCTCACCGGGCCCCTCGGTGCCTAAACACCCAGGCCGCGGAGTCTCTACGAGCAGAGACCCCTTCGTGATCACAGCCGCCTCTCCAGGAACGCCCTTGGAGCTGAGGACAGAGATGGCGCGTTTCCTCTGGACATTGCAAGCACCCAGATATCTTAAGTGCTTGTTGAATTTGTTTCCTGGGAAAATGGGGCACTTCTCTTTAAAAACTGTTTCTGTAGAAAAAAATCCCACGTGCTCTCAACCACGTTGCTCCAGCCAAAACGCTGCTAAGACCCATTCTCTCGGCTTCACGGTTGGTCACGGCCGGGCGGCCACCTCCCCAGCTTGATGGTACCCTAGCAAGGAATTCTGCCTCGAAGCCACTGCGGGGACACTCCCAATAGCAGTGGCACCTTGAGAATAGAGTCCATTTAATCTGCAACCTCTCGAGGCCTGGAATATTCCAACCAACACTCCGATTATACCACTATTTAGGTATTAGCTAAATCCGTCTACAACGACATCAGCACTAGAATTCAAACAAACACCTAGGACCAAACACCGTCGGGCGGCTGCCTTGAACTTGTATTCTTCCTCCTATTGGAATATTTGGAGGCGTTCCTGGTGTGCCCATTGCCCTTCCTACATTTCTTTGTCTGCGGTTCTGTATGTCTTGCAGTCCAGGTCTGTCTCGGTCATCCAGGCCTTTGTGATGGCGCCAAACCCTGCATTTCACGCTCGCATTACACAGAAGTCTGCAAAAAGTCCTTTGCTTGAATACCCACCGCAGGTGGAGACCAGCGAGACAGACCGTCGGCTATTGTTTTTAATCACATGAGGGAAATCGCTTATTAAGCCAGTCACTTATTAAGATGTGTTTTCTTCTCTCAGAAGAAAGAGCTTTCTCAGGTATGACCACAAATCTAAGGCCTTCACGCTGCTCTGTGAGCCTGTTTCCTCTTGTTCCACCAAACTGTGATTGAGAATAAGAAAATCTTATGTTTCGTTCTTAATTCTACCACCTGCTACAACGGACTCCCTTTGAAACCTTCCACCGTTTGCTCAGAGCCCACCGACTGACCGTCCACCAGAAACCACCATCGGCCCTGACGAGGAAATCGGGGAAATGGAGAATTAGAGTTTATGACAGAGATAAATAGCTACGATGACCTGAAACAAGTTTCTCGGTGAACGTTCTCGTCGTTTTTAGCAAAGGGAAACCCCAGGCCAGATCACGCTGAAGGTGAGAAAAGACACACAGATGACAGGGGTCCAAGGAGCCTGCATCTGGCAAATGTCCTTCTGAGCGTGAGTGTAACAGAAAGAGACAGTGAGGGGCCAACAGAGGCAGCTTGAGCGGCAGCCCGGCTCGTCTGTCTTTGCTCACGGATCACGAAGTGTGAGCTTCCCGTTTTCCCCCATGGACACCCACAAACGGGACCCAGTGCGGCCTCTCCACAGCGTGAGAGAAAACGTCAACACTGCAGAGAATTACAAATGGGCGGGGGTGGGGGTGGTCTGAAGGAGCTGTGAGCAGCTCTTTATCAGAGTCTGGACTCCACACGGGAGAGAAAGCAGTGTATGTTGATCATCATCAGAAGATCATCTTTCTTGTGAAAACGGCTACCGTGAAGATTGCTTCTGAAACACGCCATCCAAGGTTACTGACACCCAGCTGGGCGTCAGGAAGCACCTCGTGCTGAACCCCGAAGTGGGTCGGATGCCCCACGCTGCGGAATAACCACGGGGGACATCTGTGCATCCTTGTCAAAATCGTAACGTTTCCAATCCAAGGGGTTTGTGGACTTTATGGATGATTGTGTTTGCGTGTGCTGTGCATGGCTGAGCAAATTACTAGTATGAAGTTATCGACAAGCTTTCTAATAAAAAAAAAAAGCAAAATGGCCTTATTATCGACAGGTGTATTTTCACTTGGAATCATGAATCGTAAAATGTTAGCACCAAATGAAACCAGAGAAATCGTCTAGTTCCGTTTGACAGATGAGGTGAATGGAGCCTAGGAGAATGAAGTGACGAGCCCCAAAGCACAGTACAAGCTGTGACGGAGCCAGGAATGCTAACTCCGCTGCACGCTCGAGGGCTGGTGACAGTATACATGCTGTGCCTAAGAGATACAAATAAATTTTAAAAAGAAAGAAAAAAAAAAACACTACTCTGAAAAAATTTTTTATGAGAAAGACAAGTTTTTCCATCCTAGCGACATAAAGAGGGTCGAAAAAGAAGGTCCGTGTGTGTCACGTGTTGTCATTCCTACCAGAAGAGCCATTAAAAAATGTAGCCATTCTCATCTAAAATATCTACTTCCATCCAGTATTCTTGATTTTTCCTCTTCAATGCCCTCCATACGGCCTTGCTTCATCAATTAAATATGGTCGGGGTTGTCTCAGCACAGATGCGCACCCCCATATCCCATCTTCTCCTCGCATCCATGCTGGCATTTCGTTTTCTTTAATTTTCAGACCCAGTTCAAAAATCTCTATATCCTATGACACATCTCGAATCTTACGTTCTCTACAAAACTTTGCTCATAACTGCAATCCATAGTTCTCTCTCCTTTCTCTAAATTCCTACATATATTTTAGCACATAATCAAATACTTTTTAAACCCTATAATTCAGTTCTTTCTGTGTAAATGTTTTGACACAGTGAGGTGGATCGGATTCCTTTGCACATGCAGGGATGATAGTCCTTCATTTTTATTCCTTACTAGAAAAGCAGCTCCAAGATAAGGGACTGATTCAAGTGACTAGGAACACACCTGAGAAAGAGATGCTCTTCAGTGGATCAGGATGCTACAGGACGTACAGAGCTCTTCCTCAGGAAAGGAAGCCCCGGGTCCTAGGAAGGGCGCCCCGGTGCGTTCAAAGTCAAGTTAAAGAGAACACGAGCTCTGTCCTTGGCTCCGGCATGAGATTCACTCAGGACTCCCCCTGTGGCCGTCGAACTTGCACAGAGGGAGAGTGGAGAGGACAGCGTGACGTGCCATCCTCTAGTCGGAGGGCCAGGCGGCGAGCCGCGGCCGCCACTCACAGAGGCCCCGGCCCTCTGCTCGCTGTCCTGTGCGAGGAGCCTGGGAGAGTCCAGGTCGGGCCGCCAAGTGTAATTTAAAGGTGCGGTGAAAGCGTATTTTTAGGCATCCAATCTGCAGGAAAACGTGTCTCGCCTGCCTGCATCACATCATTTTGGGAAGGAATCTGATGCAAGAAGGTAAAACGCCAGCTTCGGTAGCAGAAACCGGCCGCCACATCAAAGCGCGTCCTCTGCCCTTTGGTGGAGAACATGGCAGGCAAGCGGGTCTGAGGAGCATTTTATGGGCGCGCAAGAATGTTTTCTAAGGGGCTTTGGTTGCACAACAGCCACTTACGTTAGTGGGATTCGTGCGGTCCGGGCCCTGTGACCCTGGGAAATTGGAGGGAGGCGTAATTGCAAAAAGCCACTAAGAACGGGTTGGCTTTTCCTGTGGGGCCTATGAAAAGCAGTGAGGTGGAGCTGTGGTGTCCCCTCCAGTTTCTCCGGCTACGCTAAGCTCCAGTCGCAATTAGGACAACATCCTTTTAATACGGACCCCGAGAAGTGGCACGTGGGTCACCTAACCGGTGACCGTTGCGGTGTGGAGCGT